ATGTTTCAGTTACTTTGGTGTTATGGTTTAGAATTTTTTTCATTTTACTTTTTCTCCAAACAAAGGAGGAATAGTGCTTCGTACCAGCATTTGGTTTTGAGAAATGATAGACAGATAAATTAAATTAGAAAAGTAATTTCTAACCATAAATGGATTTCTATTGTCAATAAAAGCTGTTAAATATTGTCAGTGCTTTTTGGTAAGTTTTGGAACAACATATACAGCTTTTTTTTGAAGTAGAATGGATTCATAAACTTTAGTACATTGGTGTTTTTGGTTCACAAAACGTTTTGGTAGCCTCGTCCCTTCCCCTGTGTACGTTTGCGTGCAAAAATGGGAAATATAGTCAACTTGTCCTACTGAATCTTCAGTTTGTTTTTTCCCCACATCTAGTTATACTTTGTAATAATTTGTTAATTAAGATTCAACACATGCATACAAAGATCTAGCTGATTATTTTTAATCCATATATGAAGTTTAGCCCCTTTCATTCTCTCTACCTGTTTCCAACAGCTTTTTCTATTGCAAAGTTCCATGTGACTTTTTTTTTTTTTGGTCTGTTTAATCTATTTCCTATCCCTCTTTTCTACAGCACAACTCTTTGAAAGTTGCTAGTGGCCTGATGTGAGATTTTTTCACAAGACATTCTTGTTCCTTTTTCTCCCTTTCTGTTTCTTCCAGCCACAGGACTGTTGACTCCTTTTTTATCCCTTAGAATACAGACTACCTGTCAATTTTCCTCCTTTGGAGCTACTCCTCTTGGCTCCTTCTTTGTTGCTGATGAGCTTTTTTTCCTATTTTTGCCAATTCTGGGCTCTTCTTTCTATCCTCATCCACTTTCTTTTAACAGCTTCTAATCCTTAGTTTGCTCCTGCTTGATTTGGTATTTTACATGCCATACAAAAATTGTATTATTTGTTGCAGTATAGCTCACAGATCAACAAAAGCTAGTTAGCTTAATATTAAACTAATATTCAGACTGGGACATGACAAAAGAATTGATTGCAGAGGTTCAATAAATAAGAAATTATGGCTTCATCTCTGAATTGTCAGCTGTATAGATAAGAACAATCTGCTCTTTATTTCAGTTGCCGAAACTTTTTGATGGCTGCTACTTCTATTTCCTGGGAATATTTAAAGAGCACAAGAAAGATGACCTCAAAGAATTGGTGAAAGTTGGAGGGGGACAGATTCTCACGAGGAAGCCTAAATCAGATAATGATGTGACACAGACAATCAATACAGTAGCTTATCATGCTGAGATTACTTCTGACCAGAGTTTCTGTACACAATATATAATCTATGATGCCTCTTCTAACTACAAACCACAGAAAGTTCGTCAAGGAAAAGTTTGGGAAGTACCTTCCAGCTGGCTTATCAACTGTGTGATGTCATTTCGACTGTTACCTGTTCAGAAATGATTTTCCCAGCATTGTGATAACATAATTGTTTGGATTTCAATTCTACTGAAATTTTATTAAAAGATACTGAAATTACATGCTGAAACAAGAAATAGATATTTTTCTTTACTCCTTAGACTTATTTGTGGAGAGGAAGGATGTATAAAATTGAGTTACTCCTCAAATCTTAAAACGTATATTTTAAAAAATAATAACTGAAGATTCAGATTCCCAAAATTTATTGTATGTTGATATTAGGGAGGTTCCCCTTTTTTTTGGTCTGTGTTTCTGCAAACCACATTAATTATTATTGGATATTCTGAAATTATGCTCATTCTACACTGAACTTCTATGAAGTCCTCAGAAAGGTCAGTCAGGACCATTCTGGTTATCAAGATCCTAATATGACCTTCAGCATGCCAAAATTATTAAAGAGTTTTTTCCCTTTTTGTATATGGTGAAATTAACATTGTCATTAAGTTTATTTAAAGGGATTACTTGGGTCTATAATCATGATTTCCACTGAGAGAGATTCCATTGAGAGATATGTGTTTCCATTGAGAGAGATTCATTCACTTTTAGTGTTTTCTATATCACAAATAATAAATCACATTCTGAAGCATTACCATGTAAACTGCATTTGTATGTGTGTGTGAGAGAGAGAGAGCAAGTGCGAGCGCGCACAGGCAATATAACCAGTCCTCACGATCAGTAGAGTCCTTTCAATTATAGGCCAGGGTTGAATTGAATCAAATCGTTTCACAACTTAAAAAGATAGGGATCAGCTTTCTCAAATGGTTTAGGCCAGGAAGTTAATTTGCAATCATTCAAATGTTATTGAAGGGCAGGCTAATGGAAGTTAGAGTTCAACTGCATATTGAAGACCATATTTGGTTGCTTTTCCCTGGTTTAATTGGAGGGTTACAGTTCATTGTATCAGAAACATTATTTGACACTCTCTGGACATTTATGTCATCTTACAAGGTGCAAGAATCAATATATTTGTAGAGAACCTGTGGCCTTACAAATGTTGGATTTTCCCCCAGCCCCAGGCAGTATGGACAATGCCTTGAAACAATAGCATTCTCTAAACACAAATACAGGAGTAGAGAAATACTGAACTTCTGCCTCAGGCAGAAGCAATGGAGGAAAGCTGATTCTTATTCAATCTCTGTTGTGTATTTTTTTTTACTGTATTGGGGCATTGTGAAATCACCTTTGGGAATTCTAAAACTGTACCTCTCCAATTATGTATCCTCATATAGCTGAATATACCACATGAATAAACTTTGCACAGTTTCTCCATAAAGAAAGTCATAAGTGTGCAGGCATCCCTTATTATATATTAGAACAGGTTTTGAATCTCTTCCTGTCTTGCAGCTGCCAGAAGAATGTGCTGAATTCTATAGTGATACACTATGTTATGAAAACATACATATGTTCAGTAGTGATTTTTTAAAAAATGGCTTCAAAATGGCTTCAGGCTTCAAAAACCAGAGTTTGTAATAAAGGAAATCCCTCATATACTGTACGTCATGTAAATTGTAAAGAGTTTGTCTGCACTATGATGGACTAGAGTGGAGGAGGGGCATTTCTGCCTGTACAATTACCATGGGAGATGAATTTTGGGAAGATATGTCTGTCAAATGTTTGAGGAAGAGCTTCTGTTGAGTGTTGGCTTGCATGAAATCTCTCCTGAGCCCCAAATCAACATAAAAGAGGAAGGCAATATTCATGCATGACTTCTGTATAGAACAGAACAAAGTCTCAATGGTTTATGTAGTGTAGGATTATAAAATGTCTTTCTTGTAGTTTGGTTTTTGAAGCATTATACATTATTTTTTAAACATTATTGTTGAATTAGATGACAGGTGAAGAGTTTTATCCTAGGCTGTTGGTTGGATTTTTGTTTCAGTTTTTCTGCTATACTAGCTATTGATGAGCGGGAACATTCTGTGTATAGAGGCTTTAACCTGTAGGCCTTCACCAACTATCTGAAGTGATACAGTGTGATCCTGCAGATCAATGTCACAAAAAACTTTAGCTAGATTAAAGCCATTGCATATTATTTGCATTCAGCCAGTTTATTCTGAACATTTATTGGTGATAAGGATTTCAATTTATATTTTGATTTTTTAATCCATAGTCGCTCATATTAAGATATGGGAACAAATTTATTAAATAATGAGATTTTTAAAAGATAAATTTATAATGAGTTCTCAAATATCTTCCTCTGACTTTTGGGTAAACAGGCAAAACTAATCCTAATCTAGATATGAAGATAAATTATCTCACCCAAAGGACAATCCTGGTTTGAATCAACAGGAGGGAAAGGCAAAAAAACTATTTCTTTTATTGCTTTGTCTACTAACAGAAGGAAATTAGTGGGGTTCAGAGGCTATCTGACATGCTTCATGGGTGGGAGCTGAGGCTCTGGAAATAGCCAACCCACTCCAGGAAGTCTGACCTGATTCTGTTTAGTTTCCAAAATGTGATTTTTATATATGATAACTGCAGCGAAACTTTTACATGCTCAGAGGTGGAAAGACTCAATATTACCTACAATGGAAGAATGGATGGTGAAGTTGATGGAACTAGCTGAGATGGTGAAATTGACATCTTTGATTAGAGTAAAGGCATAATTTTAATGCTAATTGGAAGCCCCTTTTGGACTTTTTATGGGAAACAGAGAAATGAAACTATAATACAGTGGGGCAAAAAAGTATTTAGTCAGCCACCAATTGTGCAAGTTCTCCCACTTAAACTCTGACTTTTGGGTCAATAGGCAAGCAGCTTGGTGTGAAGAAACAATAGGCAAGCAGCTTGGTGTGAAGAAACAATAGGCAAGCAGCTTGGTGTGAAGAAACAATAGGCAAGCAGCTTGGTGTGAAGAAACAATAGGCAAGCAGCTTGGTGTGAAGAAACAATAGGCAAGCAGCTTGGTGTGAAGAAACAATAGGCAAGCAGCTTGGTGTGAAGAAACAATAGGCAAGCAGCTTGGTGTGAAGAAACAATAGGCAAGCAGCTTGGTGTGAAGAAACAATAGGCAAGCAGCTTGGTGTGAAGAAACAATAGGCAAGCAGCTTGGTGTGAAGAAACAATAGGCAAGCAGCTTGGTGTGAAGAAACAATAGGCAAGCAGCTTGGTGTGAAGAAACAATAGGCAAGCAGCTTGGTGTGAAGAAACAATAGGCAAGCAGCTTGGTGTGAAGAAACAATAGGCAAGCAGCTTGGTGTGAAGAAACAATAGGCAAGCAGCTTGGTGTGAAGAAACAATAGGCAAGCAGCTTGGTGTGAAGAAACAATAGGCAAGCAGCTTGGTGTGAAGAAACAATAGGCAAGCAGCTTGGTGTGAAGAAACAATAGGCAAGCAGCTTGGTGTGAAGAAACAATAGGCAAGCAGCTTGGTGTGAAGAAACAATAGGCAAGCAGCTTGGTGTGAAGAAAAATGATCCCAAACACACTGCCCGGGCAACGAAGGAGTGGCTTCGTAAAAAGCAATTCAAAGGCCTGGAGTGGGCTAGCCAGTCTCCACATCTCAACCCCATGGAAAACCTTGGAGGGAGTTGAAAGTCCGTGTTGCCCAGTGACATCCCTGCTCTAGAGGAGATCTGCATGGAGGAATGGGCCAAAATACCAGCAACAGTGTG